GGTTGGCCAGGTAGCTGTCTTCCAAATTTCTTGGCATAGATGAGTGAGTGAGCTATTCCAGCACTGCTTCCATTTGTTCAAACATCTCAACTAGTATTCCGTCAATTCCTGAAGCCTTGTTCTTTGACAATGTCTTCAGTGCAGCCTGGATGTCTTCTTTCAATACCATCAGTTCTTGATCATATGCTACCTTCTGAAATCGTTGAACATTGACCAATTCTTTTTGTTACAGTGACTCTGTGTATTCCTTCCAATTTCTTTTGATACTTCCTGCATCATTCAGCATTTTACCCACAGAATCCTTCAACATTGCAACTCGAGGCTTGAATTTTTTCTTCAGTTCTTTCAGCCTGAGAAATGCTGAGCATGTTCTTCCCTTTGGGTTTTCTAATTCCAGGTCTTTGCACATGTCATTATAATATCTTATACTTTGTCTTCTCCAGCTACCCTTTGAAATCTCCTGTTTAGCTTTTACTTCATCATTTTTTCCATTCGCTTTAGTTACTCTACTTTCAAGACCAAGTTTCAGTCTCTTCGGACACCCATTTTCTTTCAGTCTTCTTAATGATCTTTTGCTTTCTTTCTTCATGTAAGACGTCCTTGATGTTATTCCACAACTCGTCTAGTCTTGGGTCATTAGTTTTCAATATGTCAAATCTATTCTTGAGATGGTCTCTAAATTCAGGTGGGATATACTCAAGGTCATACTTTGGCTCTTGTGGACTTGTTTTAATTTTCTTCAGCTTCAACTTGAATTTGTGTACGAGCAATTGACAGTCTGTTCCACAGTCAGCCCCTGGACTTGTTCTAACTGATTATATCGAGCTTCTCTATTACCTTTCCACAGATGTAGTTGATTTGACTCCTGTGTATTCCATCTGCTGAGCTCCACGTGTACAGTCGCCGTTTATGTTGTTAAGAAAAAAAAGTCTTTTCCGATGAATAAGTTACCGGTCTTGCAAAATTCTATCGTGGGATCTCTGGCTTCGTTTCTATCACCAAGGCCATATTTTTCAACTACCGATCCTTGTTTCCAACTTTCGCATTTCAATCACCAGTACTTACCTATGCAGCTTGATTGCGTGTTTGATCAATTTCAGACTGCAGAAGTTGGTAAAAATCTTCAATTTCTTCATCTCTAGCATTAGTGGTTTGTATATAAATTTGAATAACAGTTGTATTAACTGGTCTTCCTTATAGGCGTGTGGGTATTATTCCATCACTGACAGTGCTGTACTTTAGATCTTGAAATGTTCTTTTTGACAATGAATGTGACACTGCTCCTCTTCAATTTGTCATTCCCAGCCTAGTACACCATGACTGTCTGATTCAAAATTGCCAATGCCAATTCATTTTCAGTTCACTAACGCCTAGGACATCGATCTTCAAGCATTACATTTCATTTCTGACAACTTCCAATTTTCCTAGATTCATACTTTGTACACTCCACATTCCGATTACTAATGGGTATTTGCAGCTGTTTCTTTTCATTTTGAATCTTGCCGCATCAGCAAATGAAAGTCCTGAAAGCTTTACTCCATCCACGTTATTAAGGTTGACTCTGCTTTGAGGAGGCAACTCTTACTTACCCAGTTTTACTCTGAGTGCCTTCCAACCTGAGGGGTTCACCTTCCAGCACTATTACCAGACAATGTTCCACTGCTATCCATAAGGTTTCCACTGGCCAATTTTTTTCAGAAGTAGACCACCAGGTCCTTCTCCCTAGTTTTTCTTAGTCTGGAAGCTCCACTAAAATCTGTCCACCATGGGTGACCCTGCTGGTATTCGAAATACTGGTGGCATAGCTTCCAGCATCATAGTAACATGCAAGCTACCACAGTATGACAAACTGACAGATCAGCATAGGAGTATATGCTTAGGGGCAAAAAACAGGCAGAGTCAGGTGTGAGAAAGTGTTTCCACTGTCATTCATGACAAGTTTCAACGTAAATGTGGGACTCAGCATTACTGCAAGTAGAATTCTCGTCAACGGTTTTCAGCAATTTAGCCTTAAAAAGATCACAAATAAAGCTGTCGAAATGTTTCCAATGTCATTATTTAAATTTTAAAAAACAAATTCCTTGTGGAGTGACAGAGAAAACTAAAAACAAAAAATAGCACATAAGGACTGGCAGACAGACACCCCGTGGAGGGGCACAGACTGGAGGGTGGGGGTTATCTGTGTTCATTTTCATATTCTTCATGCCTTATATTGTGTGTTTTTTTGCACTGTAAGATATTTCTTTAAAAAAGACGATGACTATCTGAATGAGCAAGCAACCATGAGAAAAGAGACAAAAGGTGGAGATAAGAAACCTTTGTTGGGACCTGTCCAGCAAAAGAGATGAAAGAGAAGGCACCCCCAGGCTGAAGTGAGGCCCGTTTCTCCCACTAAAACCACCGGGGTAGCCACCGTCCTACTATCCACACACACACCCCTCTCCTGTCCCCACCACGCCTGCCGCCAGTCTTCACAGAGCAGCTGCACACTGAACAAATGCTCTCGACTGTGGGCTATCAGGAGGAGGGAAGGCCCACAGCTGCTTTCTGGAGATACCATACTGGAACGAGCAGCCGAGGCTGTGTCTAGGTTTTGCCTGGCAGTCCACTTCGTTCTGATAAAAGTCTGGTATCTATTCAAGTCCATCACCAGTCAATCAGTTCTGCTCCTCAGGTATGTACCTTCCTAACCAGGTCTGTGAGAGGTGGAAACATCTGGGCACACTCCCGACAGCGCAATGCCACGAGGGCACTGCCGCTCCTCCCGGGAGCTGGGAAGCGCACGTTCAAATCCGTGTCCTTTGGAAAGTTACCAAGGCTTCCTGTGCCTCAGTTTCCTCATTCACAACATGAGAATGACCATACCAGAACCTACCACACAGGACTGCTGTGGACAGTGAATGGGCCAAGCCACCACCACCAGGAACCACTTCTAGCCATCCTGACACTGGTGTTTCCTTGCTAAATGCTGATGCCTCAGACTCCCCTGACCAAGCCCGGCTGTCCTGGCTGTCCGAGCACTGTGAGCCGGGGGCCAGCACTGCCGTCTGTGCAGGGTGTTTCCCAGACAGTTTCCACGCCACAACGTGCTCGACAGGATGGTGAGGAGCCACTGGGCTTTGAGCTCCTCCTCCAGTGCGGTGAGTATGAAAACCCAATCAGTGTAAGTGGGACTAGAACTCGGTGCCACTACTGGATTTGTGCATAAAAAGACGACAACCGCATTCAGGTCTGCGGTCACTTCCAGAAGACAAGACCACCAGCACGCCTACTAGAGATGTGCTGCAGAGGGCTGGGCTAACAGCAAGGCAGGCCTTTCTTGGCACCTGGGACTCCTGCACCTACTGGTCCCTGAGCTGTGGCTCAGACAGCGCGAGCTCAGGGACCATCACGAAGAGTGCACACTCTCCTGGCCAGTCTGCATTCTGACAGAGATCTTCACAGTATCTTCTACGTGCACACTTCCTCGAGAAGATACACAGGCAAGATCAAGAAAGCGAGCAGTTCTCTACCTTCTAAATCCAAGGGAGATGTCTGGAGACATTCCTGGTGTTGTCACCTGGAGAGGGGAACTGTTCACCGTCCTGCAGTGCGGGGGACGACCTCCCCCACAGAAGGCAAATGTGCCAAGGCCGAGGGCCTAGCTCTCAACGGAACAGACTCTTTTCTGCTCAGAGTCCTAGTCCGCTTGGCCAGGTCCTGTCCTAGGCTTTAGGCCATCACTGCTCTTCCCTCTGCCTTGGTGCCCTCAGCTTGCAAGTTCTCACGGTGATGGTGCTCCTCAAAACTTTAGCTGATAGATTTTACTCAACCCCCATCATGAAGCCACACCCTGCACCACCTCCTCCTACTCTGTTCCTCACCATCTCGGAAGTCATGCAAAAGAGTCCCTAACGCCCTGACTGAGGCCGCAGGGGACCCACAGGAACTCAAGACACCCCCCCACCCCGAGGGCCGGCTGAGAGCCAGGGGCTCTTCTGCTCACTGGACAGATGGGACACCCCTCCTCTCTGTCAGGGGCCACAAAGGATGTGTAGGTTGCACATCTGGGATGTATGTTTCTAACACCAGCACAGATTAAATGTCTTTTGTTGAGGAGAGATGTCAAAAAGCCAAATCAGTCTTCCCTTTCCACCTGGCAAAGGGGCTAATAAGGGCTCTAAAAACAAGCTTCCCTTCAGTAAAGTACTGAGGAAGTCTATACTTCACCCTCCAAAATACAGGTCCACGTGGAAAGTACCACGGGGCTCGGAGGGGTCTCCCGGGGATGTCCAACTCTCTGGTCAGTGCTCAGGTTCGAAGCCCTCTTTGCAAACAGCACGGGGGTCAGGCGGAGGCTGGGCTTCGCATGTGCGTTGGCAAGTAGCCCCAGGTGCCACCATCATGAGGCAGTGCCCTCAGGGCCAAGACCCCAACAACACTGCCCTCTGCTCCACGAGCTCAACTAGTTGAAGTTCAAGTAGTGAGATCAGGGTGGGAATGCCGTGGCCCACGTCCGGCCCACGTCCGCCATCAGGTACTGAGGCCCTAAGGAGAGACAGCGTCCATCTCACAGAGCAAGCGCATAGTTGAGTAAGAAGGGGCCGGGATCACCGCGTTCAAGGCCAGAGGGTCTCACCCCCACAAGCAGTGAGTGTGTGTGCGGCCAGGCTCATACGGCAGGAAGGCTTCCCCGGTGGGACACATACCCTGGGGCCACCAGATGACCAGCAGGTGACATGCACAAGCAGCACCAAGGGCATGTGTTCACTTTCTAATGTGCACTTGAAAGCCTGAGATTCACAGGAAGCCTTGATTCCAAAGACACTACTCCTTACTATGACGCCAAGGAGCGTTCAAGCCGAGTGTAAGGTCACTCCTCTTTGTAGCTGAGACGTCTCTCAGTGAGACCACAAGGACTGGCCAGGGTGGGAACACCCTCCTGCCCCCCAGAAACCGCAGCCGCCCCGTAGGGCACTCCCCGTCACAGACAAGCCTCTCTTCAGCAGCTGAAGACATACCTCCTCCCTGCATCATCTTGTAGATCTTGCTCTCGATGTGCAGCTGAGGGTGTTTGGTTTTGACACATTCAAGCTTGATTGCAACTTCTTCTCCTGCAGCAATGTCCGTACCTTGGGAAAGAAAAGAAGAAAGTCAGTTACACACCCAGTGACCCTGTGTCGCACCACACCAGGGAGATAAGAGCATGGCCTGACTTTTCCAAGGAGCCAATGACCACCTGTGAAGAGCTGTCCTCACTCACCCAGGCAACAGGAGCTGGTGGAGGTGCACACCCACCCACTCCCACACGCATCCACTCAGGCCATGTGTGCCTTCCTGGGCCCCACAGTCCCCGTTTCTCCATGCTCCCTTTCTGTGCCCATGGAGGTATGTGGGAGTTCTTTCTCTGGAGGAGCTGTGCTTTTACCAAACACCCACCCAACTTCATACTGTATGTCCACAAGGTGGCAGGGTTCATTGCTAGCCTGCCCCCAAGCCTATCAAAGACCCCAGAGCAGATCAAGGGCTGACCGGACAGGGTCAGCACAGCCTGCTCTCCTGGAGGCCAAAGGTCACCATGGATTTCTCACTGACCAGAGAGATGGACCTGATTTCAGAGCCCTCAACGGTGGTGCTACCTGGGCAGGTGAGTTTACACACACCTTCAATGTTAGTTCTCAGACTAAAACTGGCAATACCTCCGTTATCAGCCCGTGAGTCTGGAGGTGGGAGTGAGAGTTTTTATCCAAAGATGTCCTATCTCTGATGTCCTCCAGCAAGGAACCACAAATCTGACCCCCCACCAACAGAGACACTGACAAGCTGCAAGCTGAGCCAAAGCCTCATCTCTAAGACCTCCCCTCCATTTGCTGCAGATCATCAACACGCTCTAAGTGAAGAGAATGAGAAGTCTTACCCAGTGACACCTAGCCCCTTCCTCTCCTCCTCCTCTCACAGCTCCTTCTAAGGACAGAACACGTCACTCCCTCCCAGCTCTCTCAGCAGACCAGGTGGAAACTGGGCCACCTTCTTCCCAGACTCACTGGGCAGGCCAACCAGCCAGCCAGAATCAGCCTTTTTCACAAGGCAGCTGTGCAGATGGTGGGTGAACAGTCACGAAGCCTGCTGAGATCCCAGATGAAAGGCACCAAGTTAGGTCAGCGAGCGTGAGAGCAACAAGGGGACCTCCAGGAAAAGCCACAGCTGATCTTGACATTCACACAACCAGTGAACACGCAAAACCATGGAGAGACAGAGTGCCCATAAGATGCAGCCTGCTTCTAGCAAGCCTGGATCGACATCCATCGGGAGTGCCGGGTCCGTGGAACCACCACCACGTGATCACCGTGGCGACCAGGCTAGACTCAGGGCCTCACTCTCCCTTCCACAGGGACTCTGAGCACTCAGAAGAAAGATAGGTAATGCACTTTGGTCTTCCTGTCTGCAGCTGGACAATCTATCCAATTACAAGACAAATGACTTCATCGTGAAATGTACTGTGCAAACGAAAAATGAACTCAGAGTTCCTGCGAGGACTTGGAACTTTAAACTGAACTCAGCCCAGGAGGGAACAAGGGATGAATCACACCATGACATCAGACTCCTGGCACTCCTGGGCATGAGTGGCCAGCCCTGGCAACAGCACTCTGATCCTCCGAGCATGGGAGCACTGCTACCCTTGCCAGCTGGCAGGTCCTCAATGACATGGCAGCCCTGGGCCGCCCAGGACCAGCACCTTCCAGAAGGAGAAGAGCAACGTTAACTCCACCTTTCTGTGGCCGATGCAGTTAGTACCTAGTCATCCTGCAGCGCGGACAGTCTTGGGGCGAAGGACCGCTGGCCGCTCTGGGACACAGAGCGAACCGCACCCTCTACGTGCAGGCCCAGACACCGAGACACCGTATGCTGTGCCCCCAACACAAGATCTCACATGAAGGGTGCCCCGAGTTTGAGGACGAGCTAACTAGCAGAGGCTGGACAAAAGCCCTGCCCAGCACAGCTGCAGCAAGTCCGGGCTGCCTCCTCCAGAGCCCTCGCCCGCAGGGCAAACGCCAAGCAGCAGAGCCACAGGGTCTGTGCGCTCCTCGGGCACCAGCTATCACGGCACCCCAGCAAGGCAGAGACCCACTACCTGCAGGCCTGCGGCCCTCTCCCGACACCAGGGCTGGCGTTGCCCCATGTACCCCACCAGTGAAGCCGCTCCAGGGGCAAGGCTCAGACGCTGCCAGGGCACGAGGGGATGAGCGCGGGGCCTGCGAGCAAGCACCCTGACGCTGCTGCACACTCCCGTCTCGTTTTACGTGAGACTGGGCCTGCCACAGAACAGAGACTACAAAAGCGCTCCTCTGTAAGAAACAGGCATCTAAAACACAGGGCTCAGCTCTGGGGTCCAGACTCGGGACAGCTCAAACCAAGTAACACGCAAGTGTTTGTTTAGGTCGTGGGTCACCCAAACACCTCGGACCCCTTGTGCGCGCATCAACGGGCAAGGGTCTGCCCTAGATAGGGCGCCCAGTTACCAGATGGAGACGCTAGTCTATATCTAGACATCAGTCCTAGAAAAACAAAATCACGTCCTTCCAAGTTGTGCCGACCAAAGCTGACAGAGAACTAAGTGAACCCAGCCCACAGCTTGAGGAGTCCCTGGAGGTGTAAATGGTTAATGCGCTTGGCTGCTAACTGAAAGGTTGGCCGCTCAAGTCCATCCACAGGCATCTCGGAAGAAAGGTCTGGTGGATCTACTTTCGAAAAGTCACAGCCACTGAAAACCCTATGGAGCACAGGTCTGCCCTGACACACACGGGGTCGCCACGAGTTGGAGCAGACTTGACAGCAACTGGATCTTTTAACTCAGAGCCCAACCCAACCGTGGGACAGGAAGGGAATTCTGGACACCAGCCTGGGTGTTCCCGATTCTCCTCAAGGACCGTCTTATCAACAAAGAAGTAGGGAGACTCCTCGGAACAGCAGGGCAAAGATCGCTCCCGCGGGGCAACTGGCACTGAAGTAGTGCAAAGCAGTACCACTGCTCATTAGGCTCGCTGAAGGAAAACACAGCTCCCCGGTAAACGGAAGCCACAATCCCCAAAGAACGTGGGGAGATGACCGTTCCCCTTCGGGAAGCCTGGCTTGGTTAGCCAGCAACCATTCTGGAACACCTGTGTCTCACCTCTGCTAGGTGCCGCGGAGCAGAACCAGAATCACGCATGAAGCTTTAGCTCCCAAAGGTGCCTGTGAACGTCACGAAGTGGTACTGCACAGTCCACCTGAGTGTCGAGCAAGAAGACAAACGGACACTCTGGTAAAGCGATGCAGTGACAGGCTGAAGCTGTAAACGTCAGCAGCCGGCGAGAAAAACACACCAGACACGGACCAGAAGCCAAGCCCCCGGCACAGCCCTGCTCTGCCCCCCTGCCTCCCAGTGCTCAGTGCCCGGGGCAAGTCACTGCTCACCCACGGCACCACGTGGCCTCCCCGCGTGGCCACCTGGGGTGTCCCTCTCCCGTGGAGCACTCACACCGGTCGCACTGGAGGGTGGAAAACACAGCCCACCGCGAGAATCCTGGTCTTTTTACCAAATCTACAAATGGCGCACTGCCGATAAAAGAAGGGGCTCTGCCCCCCACCCCCACCAGGCATTGCCTCCAGCAGCAAGCAGGCCCCAGTGGGTGGCGCCTGAGGGCAGGGCAGGGGCCAGGCAGGCCAGGTCCCATGTGCCCAGCTCTCTGCGAAGGCATGCCACAGGGTCCCCCAGCCTGCCCTTCTCAGGAGCCTTCCAGATCTCGCAGGCTCACAGGGAGGTGGAGTTGGGATTGAGACCGGCCTTTCTGAGGTCCCACAGTGGTCCAGGTGCGGTGCATACTTTCTGAGGCCTGGATCCTGGAGAAAGAACCTCTGTGCAGTGGTGATCTGGGGTTACAACTCTAGAAGGCTCAAAGGCCAGCCTGCAGCCCTCATGCTCCACCTGCGCAGCAGGCTGCTCGGGAAGGCGAGCCAGCACTAGGTCTTCTGGCTCACAGAGTGCTCAGCAAACACAGGGATGGACTCCCCTCCTCATACTCTCAAACACCTGCAAGCACTGAAAGTCCCAGCTGGACCCCCAAAGCCAGAAAGCCAGTCTCAAAACAGGGTGAACCCTACCTGGAGGAGTCCAGAGCTCTCTGACTAAATTTCAGAGTGACGGCAGTAAGAATGATCTTAATCAAAACCTTACTAAATACACATGAGCAGCTTTTCAGGATGACGACTCAACTCATTCACCTACCTGCCTACACAAATGCAAAGCGATGGCATGGGTGACTCAATGTATCCCAGTCTGGGTTCAGCCTCTTGGATTCTTCACCATAGTATACGGTGACTCTGCTCCAACCCACCGACCTAGCCATGTCTTACTCAAGCTAACAAGATCACTTTGCTTTTCCTCGGTGGGGTAGCATGTAGCCCCCCAGGACCCAGACAATGAGTCAAAAGCAAATGCTGTCTGACTAGAAATAAACTTGTCCTGCCTAGTCCCACACAGGAGCCCTGGTGCCGCAGGCGTTAAGAGCTCGGCTGCTAACAAAATGGTCGGCAGTTTGAAATCCACCAGCCGCTCCCTGGAAACCCTATGGAACAGTTCTACTCTGTCCTATAGGGTCGATACGAGGTGGAACTGACTCGATGATACATTACAGCAATAGACCCACACAAGTCATGGGCTGCCTGGGTGCACCAACTCAAGTATTGGGGAGCCACAGCCCCCACCTCAGAACACAGAGGATGGGCCTGAGAGCAGACCCCTCGAGGCCGGTACCCCATCTGTATCAAGCACCCACCCTGGGTCCAGCATGAGGGAAGCCCAAAGGAGCAACAGTAACTAAGCAGGCAGCTTCCTGCCCCACCAAGCTTCCAGCCTTGTGGGAAGAGGACACCCCTTTGTGAACTCAGTGGAAACAACTGTGCAACTTGATGGTCTGAATTTATCTTGTGAAAGCACAAAGCTATCTGGCAAGGTCTCAGACAAGAGGAGAGAAAGTTTCAGATCATCTACTTCTGAAGCCCGTGTAACGGTGGATAATGTACTGGCTTCTCAGTATAGCTCCCAGATCCGAGGTTAAGACTTTCGCCAGAATCTATTCTATAAATAAGGCAAACAGCTTGCATTTAGCCAGCACTGCACTCCCAAACAGGCTGAGAATGTACCCACTGACTCCTTGGGTATAAATATTTAAGTAGCAGAATCCAAAGCATCTCTCCAGCGGCGTTTCCTCAGTAAGGCAGAAGTCTGGTCCACAGGCATCCACACAGCACGCGATGCGGTGAGCCTGTAGATTAACCAGGTACCAAGAGCAGTAGGGGGCTACCCAAGCATGTCAACCACAAGGTCCTGGGTTCCCTCCTCAGTAAAGAGCAGAGGGTGAGCACGGACTGGGCTTGTCTGAAAGACCAACCCAGAACCACTGCACACTGAGGAAAAGACAGCAGTTCCCGTCCCTCCCTAACAGGCACACCCGCTAAAGAGAACCGCCTAAGCGGCCACTCAACAACAGACCATGTTTGCCCCGAGGTTATGCAACAATTCTTCCTGCACGCTTGCTGGCTTGCCAGCCTCCTGTTCTCAAGTTCAGGAGGCTTGGAATAACTTAGGCACGCTTGCTTGGGAAAATGCAGAGAAACTTGGTTATTTTTCAATTCCCTACTTTAAGATTTAAGCCATTCTTTCACAACAAAGGATCCTGGACAGAGCTGGAGAGAAATGCAGAACAACATTCTAACTCACAAAAAAAAAAAAAAAAAAAAAAAGACCAGACTTGCTGGCCTGACAGACACTGGAGAAACCCCGAAGAGCATGGCCCCCGGACACCCTTTTGGCTCAGTGATGAAGTCACTCCCGAGGTTCACTGTTCAGCCAAGGACTGGACAGCCCCATGAAACAAAACAAGACTGGTGGGGCACAGCAGTCCAGGCACAGGGACTGGAGGGCAGGAGGGGACAGGAAAGCTGGTAACAGGGAACCCAAGGTTGAGAAGGGACATGTGCTGACATGTCGTGGGGTTGTTAACCAATGTCATAAAATATGTGTATTGTTTAATCAAAAACTACTTGTTCCGTAAATCTCCATCTAAAGTACATTTAAAAAAAAAGATTTAAGCCATTCTTTTGTTATATGCCTGTGGGTTGATGTGCATTTATTTTCTTTAATCCCACATTTCAGCTCTAGCTTGAGAATTGCAGGGCCCTGCTGGCACAGTGGTTAAGCGTTTGGCTGCTAACCAAAAGGTCTGCAGTTCAAATCCACCAGCCACTCCTTGGAAACCCTACGGGGGGGGGGAGTTCTACTGTGTCCTATAGGGTCGGTATGAATTGGAATCTACTCGACGAGAATGGGTTTGGTTTGGTTTTTGAGAAGTCTAACAGCCAAAACGCCAGACTCAAGACTAGAACTTTCTTACTAGTTTACTGGCTTCTAACTCTGTCCAGTCACCTAACTCTTTATTTCCAGGCACCTCGCTTAGGCCTCACTTGGTGCTCAGCCTGTCCTCAGCGAACACCCCGGGCCCCTACTCAGGGCCAAAGGACTCTCAAAGCCCTCCCTTCAGTCGGGGCGGGGGGACTAAGGTCACAGCCCAGAGGGGATCCACGGAGGGCCGTCCTGCAAAGTGCAGGAGCATAAAGAAGCGAGGAACCGGAGTCCCTAGGAGCATAACCCTGGGGTGTCCCCACCTCCACACCGCATTCGAGTTGTTTTGACATTTTCCCCACGTGTGTCAGACGCAGCCGTGAGCCGCATGGGGGCTGCACGGAAGGAACCGTGGCCTTTGTTTACTTGCGGGCGACATGCGGGCGTGGGGACTAACCCACGCCTGACCCTACTAGACAAGGCCGCAAGGGCAGCGAACCCCGCGCCCGGCCTCCTGGCCCTTCACCTGGGGCTGCGAAGGTTTCACCTGTGCGCGGGGCCAGCCGCGCCTCGCAGCCGACTTTCCGGCAGGCACGTCCCAGCATCAGAGCGCACCTGGCGACAGGGGCCTCGGGGGACACCGCCCCTCGAGCTCGCCGCCGCCCGCGACCCCCACGGGGCGCTCCTCCTCTCGGCGGCCGCTGTCCAGGCCCTGCCCAGTCCGGCGGCGGCACCGCTACTTCCGGCGTCGCGGACTTGCGGCCTCGGGGGCTGGGCCGGGCCGAGGGACCGAGACTGGGCCGGGGTCGCGCGGGACTCAAGGCCCGGAGACCGAGAAGACGGCCGAGCGGGGGTCAGGGCCGGGACACGGGCAGGCCCCGCTTCTCTGCCACCAGAGCCTCCAGGCGCCCCCCAGCTCCAGCACCGCGGCCAGCGGGGCCCCACTTCCCCGGCAGCTTGGACGCCGAGCTCGGTCTCGAGCTGTCGGGGCGTGGGGGGGGTCTCGAAGCGGGGCGGACTCAGGGAACAGGGCGCGGGTAGGGGTGCCCTCGCGGGGGTCCAGACCCTGCCACCCCGCCGCCCCGCCCCGGCGTCCTCGGGGCAGGGGTCTCGCCCCCTGGGGCCGGGTCCCGGGACGGGGGGAGGGGCGCCACAGCCTCACCGAGATAGATGTCTCCGAAGGAGCCGCTGCCGATCTTCCGGCCCAGCCGGTACCTGTTCCCGACTCTCAGCTCCATGGCTGCGGCCCGGCTCGCTCCTATCCTCCCGGCCGCTTCCTGGGTCTGAGCTCCGGGGAGGCGGCGCCGCTGCTGCCGCTACTGCGGGTCCGGCTGCCGGCTCCGCCCCCCTCACGGCCCCGCTTTCACCATCGCTTTCCGGCCGCCCCGCCGCTCCCAGCGCCTCAATACGGGGCGGATGGGACAGTCCGAGCGCCGCCGCCCCTGCTCCACCCCCTGCTGGCCCCTCTCGCCCTCTCCCCGCCGCGGATGGACTCGGATCTCCCGGGCCTAAATCCCCCTTCAGCTGCCTAAAGGAGCCGCCGCCATCGCGCTGTGACGTCACTTCCCCTAGCAACCCGGAGGGGCGGGGCCGTTGTGCCCGAGGGGCGGGGCCGGGGCGGGGCGGGAGGGGGCTTCGGGCATTGGGCACCCGATCGGGGTGAGGCGGGGGGCTTTGGGCATCGGGATAGGGTGGAGCAGGGGGAACTTCGAGCATTTGATCAGGGTGAGGCGGGGGTCTTCGGGCATCGGGACAGGGCGGGGCGTGGGGCTTCGGGTGTTGGGGCGGGACAAGGTTGGGCTTCGGGCATCTGACCTGGGTGAGGCGGTCCGGGGGCGTCTGGGCGGGGCGAGCGCGCTGAAGCGTCCTCCGGCTCCTCCTCTCTTTCCTTGCCCCGCCCCCGGCCCCCTGCCGTGAGCGGGCTCCACGTGCTCGCCCAGGGCCGTCGTGTGCCCCCTTCAGGTCTAGGAAGCCTGACTGATCTGGGGGAGGCCCTGGCGCTGCCCTTTGCAGGATGCAGAGAGGGCTGGAGTCTGTGCCTCCAGCCCCGGACCCTCGCCCCCGGGGGTCTGCCGGTCCGCGGAGGTGCCCTCCCTACCGGCCCCGGAGGGGCAGGGTCCAGGTACCAGGCCCGGCCACCTGGCAGTCCAGCGGGACGCAGGTGTGCGCCGGCCTTGTGGCCCTGCTGGGGACGTCTGCTGGTCCATCCCCCCAGGACCTGCCAGTTCCCAGGTTAGGGGCTTAGGAAGTGAGTGCCTGGAGTCTCCTGCCGCTGCCAACACCCCGCGAACTCGGATATAAGGCAAGGGGAGGAACAGGCCTCCCAGGACCCAGGTTAGGGGGCCCAGGCCAGGGGGCCGTACTGCGTGAAGGCTGAGTGGCCATGAGCAGGCTGCCAAAGGGCAAGCCAACGCCACCTCTGCAGTGCCATCGCCCGGGCATCTTTACTTCATCTGGGTGCATCTGGATATTCTTATTTTCAAAATAGCACTGGATGCTGACTCTCAGGCACCCAATTAGAACTCTTGACTCGGATCGTAGGGAACGAGCCCACCAGAGTGGCCCCCAAGCAGGGGCAACTTTGCATGTGGATGCTTCTCTAGACATCCCCGGGGCAGATGACCCACTAAGTAAGGTAAGCACAGGCTTGCTTATGCTTACTTACTAATCTGTAGTGAACAGTTTCACATAGGTTACTGGGTCATCTGTCCTTGTCAGGGATTGTAAATTTGAGAAGAGGCTTTGATGCTGTAAGAAGGTGCTGTGGGGTTGGGAGAGAGACAGATGCCAGCCACACCTAGGAGCAGAATCCTTGATGTGGTGAAAAAAACGTGCTTACCTTGCCTATTGAATAATCCGGTCCTGAACACCCCCCCACCCCAGCTAAAAAAGAACCGTGAGATGGGTTGTAAAGACACACTCCTCAGCATCCAGCAAGCATCCTGCCGGGCATAGGTGTCACAGAGATGCTGAGGGAAGGGTGCGAAGGGTGTACCCTGCCCCTGACACACAGCAGGGCGCCTTTTCCCCCTCCGAAGCCTCCCTTCTTGGTCCTCAGCCTCAGGCACGCAGCCCTCACCGAAAATAGTTGGCACTCAAGTTGGAGAGGACAGGCATCTATACCTGAGATTAGCTGCAGTGTGAGAAGACAGAAGGGGATGTCTGGCCACCTGTGGCTTCCCCTTGGCCAGAGCATGCGGTGGCCCTGGGTCCCAGAGGAGGAGCTTGTGCCCCAGGCTTGTTACTCTGGGGAGAAGACCACCCAGCTGCCACTCCACATCTGGCTCCCCAAGGAAACAGAGGTGGAAAGTCTTGTTTTTGCTCCTAATAAAAATCAAAAAACCAAACCCCTTACCTTCGAGTCCATTCTGACTCATAGTCATCACAGTGTCAAACTGTCCCATAGGGTCTGCAAGGTTGTAAATCTTTATGGAAGCCAACTGTCATGTCTTTGTCCCCCGCAGCGGCTGGTGGGTTTGAACCACCAACCGTCTGGTTAGCAGCTGAGCGCTTAACCACTGCACCAACAGAGCCCCTTTTTGCTCCTAATACACATTGGCAAATCATAGGAATGTTGAGATTTTTCTTTTAGAGATCGTAGTGGATTGAGTAGTGTTCCTCCAAAATTCATGTACGCCTAGAACCTTAGAAAGTGCCCTTATTTGGAAATAGGGCCTTTGCAGATCTCACTAGTTAAGATGAGGCCATGCTGGAGTTGGGTGGCCCTCAGTCCAGTGACTGGTGTCCTTAGAAGAGGAGGGACACAGACCGACGCAGCGGGAAGATGGCCGTGGGAGGAGGCAGCAGAGATAAGAGCGAAGCTGCCACGAGGAATGTCTGGGGTCACCAGAAGCTGGAAGGGCCTTCCCCTGGGGTCTGCAGAGGGAGCACGACCCCGCTGATGCCTTGATCTTGGACCTGTGGCCTCCAGAACTGTGAGAGACTAGATCTGTGTTGTTTCGAGCCCCCCAGCTGCTGCTTATCTGTTGTAGCTGTCCAGGACGGACACTCACCTGGCAGATGGTTGTGTAGATGCGGAAACTGAGGCCCAGAGAGGCCACACGTTAAAAATTCTAGATTCTTCCGAAGCAGCTCCAATGTCAGATATTGTGTATGATTTTAACAGAAGGCAGCAAAAGCAGAGGATAAAGAGAGGACGGGAGGAGAGGACGTGGAGACCTGACCTAAAAAGGTTGGCAGAGGTGACTTGTCCTTTCTCCTGGGGGATGCACCTCCTTACTGGCCAGCACCAGCCCACCCTTGCCCCCGCTCCTGCTCGCCCCTCCCTCTCTCGCAGCACCTTCTCGGCTCTGGTCACCCCAGTCTTCCTTGCTTTCCCCACCCCTGGTGCCGAGAGTGTCGCGCAGCGGCAGTGAGTACTGTGCCTGGCTCCCTTGTCTTGTGTGTGTTTGTTGGGCTGAGTCTCGACCGTGGGCCCTGGAAGCGTGGATGGGGTGGGGGTCGTGGGAACGGCAGGGGCTCTGGGGAGATGTGACCCTGAGGTTCTCTTCTCCCCACTTCCAACTTGGGCTGGTGGAGCACGTGAGCAGCCACAGGCAGGGCTGCCACTTTGGCGTCTGTCCCCAACGAGGCCGTGTATGCTGAGGGCACTGTACCACCAGGCCCAGCCCCAACCAGCTGACAAAGGAACAGAACAGCGTGGAGAAGGGGGCCCGGGACCCAGAGGGGGACGAAGCAGCTCTCGAGCCCAGCAGAGGAGACGGACGGCACTGCTAACCCACCGCGACCCACCGAGAACACAGAAATGCAAACAGCCCGGCTTTATGCAGCAAGACCCACGACTTTTTTCTTTTTGTCTTTCCGTAATACACATAACACGAAACAGGCCTTTTGACCGTTTTCAAGCGCACAGTCCAGTGGCATTAGTCACACAGTGTTGTGCAACCATCACCGTTTGTCTTAAAACTTTGACATCACCTCACACAGAAACTCCGTGCCCATTACATAATCGTGCCCCTTTCCCCTCCCACCTGCCCTGGTAACCTCTCATAAACTCTGTCTCTGTGCACTGCCCATTCTAGATACTTCCTGTAAGTGGGATCATACAGTGTTTGCCCTTTTGCGCCTGACATTTTCCTGAGGATAGTGCTTTCAAGGTTCGTACATGTCATGGCGTGTGCTAGAACTCCACTCCTTTCTATGGCCGAAACATATCCCATTGTAGGAATAGACCATATTTTGTTTATCCGTCATCTTTTGATGGACAGTTGGGTTGTTTCCACCTTTCGGCTATTATGAATAGTGCTGCTGTGAATATTGGTGTACACATAAAATCCGAGTTCCTGCTTTCAAATTCTTTTGAGTCCATACTCAACACTCATGACCTTTTGACAAATAATTTTGGCAGAGGGACTGAAGGAGGGGGTGGTATTGATGAGCAGCCTGGCTACCCAGGTAGAAGGAACATCTTAAATGACAGAATAAAGAGGCCAAAAAGTGCACATCACCAGGGAAAAGACTTAGAGGATGGGTGTGAGTAGATGTCTGTGTGATTAGGTGTGTGAGTGGGGCTCCCAGAAGGGGCAGAGCGATGGGGTGAGGGGCAGTCATTGGAAGAGTCAGGTCTGCGGAGGGGGAGGCCCTGACAGGCAGCGTCCACTAGGACAGGCACACACCTGGGCCCACCTGATACAACCCCTGAACTCCATGGGCAAGGAAGGCGTGTTCAGGAAGATGCTGCGGGCGAAGGAAAAGAATCCAACTGGCCCTGGGCTTCCATGTAACTGGTAGCCCATGGAAGGCTGCAGAAAGACCTCTCCAGACAGCTGAGAGGAAAGGACAACACCAGGATCCATGTGACAGAACAGATGCCATTTGCCTGGCAGGGCGAAGAGAGCCTCATAGGTGTCAGGGATTTGGAGAGCCGGGGAGGGGCTAGAACAGCCTCCCAGTGAGCAACAAATGAGACAGAATGGGTCTCAAGACAGGGAGGTGAATGGGACAGGAGCGCTGCGGTCAGCGGCCGCCTCTGGGAGTTCTCTGTATATGTATGCAAGTACGTTTGTACGCCTGACACACACGTGCACCCATGTGTACATATGTCCATGTGAATACATGTGAATGTGTGTATGTGTGCTGTACATACACAGGACTGTACACCTGCATGCCGTACACATATGTATACATGCATGTATGTACGTGTGTATGTGTATATACACCATATGAATGTGCGTCACGCGTGCATGCATGCGCC